GCGACTGATGCCTATTTGACAGTAGCTGGAGGCTTCAGGAGTCAGTGCAGTGACCAAACCCATCTCCCTTCTGTGCTAAATCTCATAAGCAATAATCATTCCAAAAGGTCTTGAGTCACAGTTGACAATGACTAGTATGTCAGGACCTGGGGAAGCCTTCGTAGGATGGTCTAAGTGAAAAGGAGCTCCTCATTATGAGAAGGGAGAGGAAACACCTGGAATCCTGGTTTTCTCTTGGGAGTTGACACGGTAGATTCTCACCATTCTAAGAACTCTGATATGCTGAACCTCCAAGGAGAATCCACTGTTCATACCTGTGACAAGAGGATTAAACCCAACAAGCAGGGTAAGCACTGCAGGTATCATGTACACCACCTGTTGGCAGAGAGGAAATGAGAGGGTTAGGACATGTGCCCAAACCTGGGAGTTGCAGCCCAGTTAGTATTGTGTCCTCATCCCCAGCACTGAAAACAGGAGTACGTTTGTAGCAAATAAGAGTGTCATCAGTGGTCCCCAAGCCATGTGATTTTCCTCTTTTGCTAGGCACTGAGGATGTGATAAGTTCTGCTACTATGACCTCATCACCACACCAGGCTGTAATTTTTACCTCCCTTGGTCAGCTCTTCCTGCAGGAAAATATACTTTGGAACTCAGGTTATGGACCAAAGTGCTGAGGAGGAAGTCATTCGATTTAGGGACTGGGGACTCTGGATAACAGGCAGAATCAGACTATGGGTCTACTGGGAAAACACCAAACACTTGACTAAAACTTTTCTCTGTAACTTCTGGCATTGTCACTTGTTGCTCAGCTATACACAGTGAACAGTGTCCTCAATTCCAAGAATGAATTCCTTCCTCAGTGATTTTGTACGGTCTCCATACAAGACTGTCTATGGTTGTCTGAGGTAGAAAAAAAAATCATGGCTGGATATAACCAATACACATCCTTGTGATGGCTGTCATAAAGGTTAGCAAAGCACATGTCAAGTGACTATCACATTGTAGGACCTAAATAACACCGTAATGTCATGACTGGTGCCATGATTGTCAGGGGGATGAGAGTTGCTGGAATAAACTCTCTCTGTGGAAAGACTTTCATGTCTCCAGAGAGTTCACACCCACCCCCCAGCAAGTTATATTATCTTAGTGATTTCTGCTTCCAAGGAGAAAAATTAGGAAAATAAGCTCACACGTGTTGATTTTTCAGGTTTTAGACAAATGTCTCCAGCATCAGAGGCACAGTTGTGTCAAACGGAGGAACATAGTAGTTCATACTCACCACCCAGAACTCTGCATCTGGATCGTTCACCTAGAATGTCAACATATCAAGCTGTTAGCCGACATTAGACCCGACACATCCTATGTCTGGTCTGACTTTGTATTTACTATTCGTTTCGAAGAGCCAGGCGCTGCAATGGGCTCAGGGTACAGAACACCTGTCAACAGGGTAGCTGTCTGCACATCAGGACGGCTGAAGGGATCCCCCATCCCCACCCTGTTGAACCCAACAGGTAGGTCTAACACATAGTCATGCATACTTTGAAAAGAACTGCTTGGGATTACCTAAGAACCACACGGGTGTCTTAAGACCCTGGGTCTCAAGAAACGAGGGGCGGGGGTTATTCT